GGCACACTTTAAAAAAATCATATACATATGTCAAAACTTTACATAAACATGATTTACTATATGTCCATTATAGCAAAATAAAGATTTTTTTTTAATGAAAAAAAGTGTTAACCTTCATAAGTGAGCAACGTGTTAGCTAATTATTGCACCTTTGCTTTTTTAAAAAACATTGTCAATATTTTATTTTGCTGTTTTGTTTTCTGTTTTTTAGTTTGAAGAAAGTGTATTTTACTTTCTCTACATTCGAAACATTCAGATTTTTCATAGGCTTAACTCCAACAGTTTTACCCTTTCAGGAATCATTCTCAGAGGTTTAAATATTTCAGGAGGGGTTAAAATCACAAGGGAAATGTCATAAGCCCTTTGAAACACAAAGGCGGCAACCAATCAGCATCCGAAGTTACTGCTTTCACTTTAAAAAATTCATGAGACCTTTAGGACACAGATCACTCTGCATGTAGCTCTTCCACACAGATTGCTTATTTACAGATTAAAAGCCTCGCATTCTGCCAAGACAGACAATAATTACTCTCTCAGGGATTATGCAACTGCTCTCTTGCAATATCTTTTACATAATTAAGTGCCCAACTCATAGCTCACCAAGGAACAAAGCATAACTGCACATGCCACCCTCTGAAGATTTCTCACCAAACTCAAGTTTTCCCCATGTGTAGGAAAAACTGCAGTAGGCTTCCACTAGTGCTTTGATCATTAATTCAGAAAAGCAGNTGTGTAGGAAAAACTGCAGTAGGCTTCCACTAGTGCTTTGATCATTAATTCAGAAAAGCAGGTATTATTACTGAAAGTAAAAACAGTACAGAATATAGTCATTATTGCATGCATAGAAGAGAAGATTTAAAAAGAGACCTTTCTCTCACTCCTGGAGCCAATCTTAACCTTATTTGTTCCTTAACTAGTTCAATTTACTAAGTTCAACAAATATTTACTAAATTTGAAGTCACTGGGATGCTCTTGCCTTTCCAGGCAATCCTCAAACATAGTTACCTATTTTCTTATGTATTTTTTCAGTCAACAGATTTCGAATGCCTGCAACATTACAGACACTGGAAATACTAACAATGATAAGACTAGGCTCCGCCTCAAGCTTTTCTATTAAAGTTATCAGATTTTCACAGTGCTCCAGAATTTGGCTAATAACACAAGTTTCACTCTTCACTTTGACTAAAAACATCAAGTTTCACTCGATGCTCACAGGTGTTCGGCTCTGCGCACATACAGGAACAGAGTGAGGATGAAGTGGCCCTGATGTCATTGCAGAAGTCCTGCACAGATCTGGGCCTGCTAGTCTGCCAGCCTGCCCACTCTGGAATTTCTGCTTTGCTTTCATCATATTGACTTTTTCTCTTTTTCCCATCTATTATATTGTAAAATTTCAAACCAAAAGAAAAGTTGAAAGATTAATACAATGAGCATTCCATTTATGTAACAATTGTAAAACAGAGCCATATATGCTTTTGCATGCATATCCTTTCTCTCTTCATTTACAAAATTTATTTTGCTGAGCTATGTAAAAGTAAGTTTCAGACTTCATAGCATTTCACTCCTAAATAACTCACCATGCATTTCCTAAGAATACGGACACTTTTCCTAAATACCAACAATACCATTATCACATCTAAGAAAATTAATAATTTCATATTGTCTAATATCAAGCCCATATTCGAATTTCCTCAATTTCCCAGTCCATGTCTTTTTACACTATTTTCCCCCACACTGGGATCCAATTCAAGTTTTACCCATTTCATTTGGTTGTTTTATCTTTGCAATATCTTTTGATCTAAAAATCCAGTTGGTTTTTTTTAATGACACTGACTTTTTGAAGAGTCCAAGCTGCTGTCTTATAAAATGTCCCACATTCTGCATTTGTCTGATTATCTTTCTCTTGTTATCATTAAGCCTGTTCTTTCACCACTTGTATTCCCTGTAAACCAAAAGCTACATCTAGATTCGAGTTAAACAGTTTTAGCAAAAATACTTCATTCTGTGAACTTCATATTTTATCACATCAGAAGATATAAACTGTTAGGTTTTCTCATTATTACTGATGCTAAGCTCTAACACTTGGTTGCTGCCACTTCTCTCTGTTATAAAGGTATATATTCCCCTTTATATCAGTAAGTAACCGAGGGGTGAAAATGTGGTACTATGTGGCTGTCCTAATAGGTTTAGCATCCACTGATCATTCTTGCATACATTTTTCTATTTTGGACTGTAAAATAATAATTTTTCCAATTCTATCATTCCTTCACATTTAATTAGCTGGTATGCTTCTATAAAAAGGAGATTCTCCTACCTTCCCTTATTCTTCTTGATGTTCATATTGTCCCAAATTTGACCACTGGGGGTCCCTTCGAACTGG